TGTCTCCGACTCAACTTTGTTGATTGATATTATTGATATTTGTATTATTCAAAATTTTTTCTTCCCATATATTCTTATTTTTTATTTCGTCAGTTTTATCTGTCATCAATGTAGATTCTTTATTTTCTGATTTAACATCGACAACTCGTGTCTCGGTTCTTGCCTGCGCTTTCTCTCCCAAATCCTTTCTCTTCACTTGGAGAAAAGGATCAGATACATCCTCTATCGGGGGCTCGAGAAAAGCCTCTAGAAAATTATCAATATTAAACATTTCTGAGGATGCAGTACTTGATCCTAATGCATCATCGGAAAATATAGATTTTATTTCGAGAGGTTCTCGAATTTTCGTCGATTCCATGTCATCTATGTCTTTTAAAAGTTTCGAATGTATAGGGTTAATATCATAGCTGAATTCGATATTTTTGTTAGGTATGTTTGATGTATAATTCAATTTTGTCTTTCTGACTGGTACTATGCTTTGGTCAGTATTGTTATCTATATTTAAAGGTGTTACTTTTGCAAATACATTAGTTTCCATTTCATCAGTTCCATCCGATGCAAATTCTTTATTCCTCGATTTTATATCAATAATTTCTTTTCTTTTTGCACGTACCGGCTTCTCTTTCAAAGTCGCCTTTGTATCCATCTGATCTTTATGCACAGAAGTTTTCAAACTCTTTTTACATTGTATGGGACATATCTCATTGGAACATTTTCGTTTGTTTAAAGGCTGAATTGCCGGCCTTTTCTCTGGTAATAAGTCCCACAATGTAAGTTCAATACAATTTTTGGCAAAGTGATTATTACAAAGTGTCCTGTAGATCAAAGAGTAATTAAAATTGGGTAGAAGAGCATGTATTATCCTTGCATCCTTTTGCAATTCATCTGAAACACTGAAACTGCAAAGGTCCTCTAATACTGGTGGTAATGCTGGAGCATCAGGATCTTTACTGCACCCTGGTTTTGGGTCTTCCATCTTAAAAATACTTTTCACATATGCAACATCGTTATTATTTTCTTCTAAAACTGTTGCTTTAGGTACCTTTGAAGTACTTTTTATACATGTAACATCATTCTTTTCTTCTAGAATTGTTATTTCAGGTATAGATACTTCAGATACTTGAGTCTTACTATTAGCAGTTGTAACTTGGCTATCACCATCAGTAACCACATCTACAGCTACATCAGTAACCACATCTACATCTTGATTCAGTAACGATTTATTATCATTTGGCTGTAAATAAGAACATGAAGTTGTGATATCATTAGCTGCTATTTTCAAAGTATCAATTACTGAAGTATCATTCATGTTAGATGTATTGTGATGATAATAATCTGTGTCATCATCACTATCTGATGAAATATCAATTACTTTGACATTGGTAGATTCCATTGAAGAGCTGTATTCAGAAGTAGAATCACTAGCATAGTGTGATTCTGACGAACTGGACGTTCCCATAATATCCAAAGAGTTTTGAAAGTCATCTTTCTCACTGATGATTCTAATGATGTGACTTATCTTGTCCGTTATGCCAACGAAATCACAATTTTCCAAAAAATCGGATATCACGTCTTCATCGATATCTTGTCCGTTCGCCGCTAGACGTCTTTTTATCTCTTGAATCTCAAGACCGTTTCCGCACATAACCTTGTCAGATTATACAATTCTCTGTGGGATTAAAAGACAGATTGTGAGATCGAGGAGTAAAATCTGATTATCACGAACACAAGAAAAGAAGCTATCGAAAAATTTACGAAAGTAACAATTAACTTATTGATATAGTACCTTAAATGTTAAAACACAATCTGCATTTACCGATATTCACGCAAGCAATCCTTGCTTTAAGCGTTCATTTCAAGATTGCACGTGGAAATAGCTAATACCAAAACGAACAACGCATTTATATCGCTTCAACAAGCCTCTGACACAAGCTTATTCATGTTTTGATTGATTTTGATTTGCAAGTGACATGAGCGATCTGTTCCTCGTATCTGCACTTTCGTCTGTTTCCTTTTTCCAACTTTAAACTTTATATATTCATTTCACTTTAAGTGCAGAAAGTGCAATCTATAAGGCGTGACCGATTGAAAGAAGAAACAAGAAATGTAATTGGCTGTGCTGTGCTTAGCTTTTTCGAATTAAATGCGACGAACTATTGGTTATCTGAAAGAGATAAAGTCTGATAAAGATAAAAAAAAAAAAATGGAAAAGACGAGAAGAAAAATTTCGTTATTTGCAATGTGTAAGGGTGCATTTACATTAAAGATAGAAAAGCAAAATGCGGAAATTTGAGCAAAATTTGTTAGAGCCAAAAAGAGCAAAGTCTGAAAGCCAACAATGCAATTTTAGCTGGCTCGAAACAAATTCAATTCTTTCACTTCTAACGTATTCAAAATTCAATATTGTAGCATGCAAACGGATACGTCCCTTTTTCTTTCTGTTGATTACGTGGATCACGGGATTGATATTCCGCAAAAAAAATGTGTAATGCGCAAATTCAATTGTGCAAGTTACGTTGTTATTTACCAGCTAATAAAATAATTCATTACGATAGGAATGTATTTACTGTGAAAAATTTGTGAGAATAACAAAATGACTAGACATTTTTATAGAAATTTAATATCGGAAAGATAAGATAATTTTATTCTAGTCAATTATTAATTTTAAGTTGTTCAATGCTTTTGATACTCAAAATAAATAATTTCTAGTTATATTGACTAATATTAAATTGGACTAGTTTTAAATTCTGTTGGGACATGCTTATAAATAAAACTAATATTTCATTTATCGTACCTGTACAGTAAATCTTGATTGTCTATATAGATTGTCTATATAGCAAACTTTCTAATTTCCAAAATTTTCTATTGCAGAATTTTCCTAATGTTGCAATCAATATGTTTAAAGAATTTGTCATACCACAAACATATTAAATATGACACAGATAATCATACCGATTAACTATACTTTTTTTACTTACAATATTATTAAAAAATTATGAAAAATTATAGAGTTATTCTAGGTCGGAATCAGACACGTGTTTCCTCCGCGTCACCAAACACTTTTAAAGCACAAATTAAGGATGTATGTTTCGTACTCCGCGTTCCTATAGGACTTTTCCCACACGCTTGTAGGCTGGCAAAGTGACAACGCGACAACGCGTTAGCCAATCTTCAACCATATAACTTTGTTACAGCTATTAGAAAACAAGACGGTGATTAGCTTACCGCGTTGCCGTATTGCCGCTTTGTCACGTCCTGCGTGCAATCAGCCATACGCTGACGCGGAATCGAAAGCCGCGTCCCCATTTCCCCCGCCGTTCGACCAATCCGTGTGACGCTTTTCCTCCACGCCGATGCAACTATTGGGGTGCGTTTAGAAATAACCGAGTACCCACCCAGGTATCGTTTTATCTTTGTTTAATATTCAACGAAAAACACGAATAAAAATGACTGCGTTCAGCAGAAAAAGCAGTCAGTGAGCGTTCAGTGATTTTTCAATATGATTGGTCCTTGCTTTTAGATCTTCGTTGAATCTAAGTGTAGAAACCAATCATAATAAAGAATCACTGAACGCTCACTGATCTGCTTTCTCTGCTGAACGCAGCCAATGATATATCCAATGTTTCTGAACGATGTGATACAAATAAAATTTTTATCTATAAAAAATACTTAATTTCTGCATGAAACTTTATGAAATCTTATATTAATAACCCTGAATACTGAAGTATCTATATAAAAAATGAGATTTAGAATAATCAGTAAGTTTTTTTATAATTTTTTCATTATAAGTATAAAAATTATAAAAGTAGGTATAAACATTCTTAACTGCGACATAAATTCCCGATTCGCAGGGTTGCGAATATTGTGGTTTGCCGAACACATTAAATTACGCGGAAATGCGAAGACGCGCGAAGCTTCTCACAAAGCCGCAGTAGTTGCATCGGCGTGGAGGAAAAGCGTCGCACACGGATTGGTCGAACGGCGGCGGCAGTGGAGATGCGGCTTTCGGTTCCGCGTCGGTGTACAAGCGTGTGGGAAAAATCCTATAAGAATGCCGAGCACGAAGCGTACGTCCCCAATCTGTGCTTCAAGAGCGTTGCGTAGTGACGCGGGGGAACGCGTGCCTGATTTCCGACTCCGGAGTGACTGTTTGCTGTTGTTCGTAGTGTGTGCATGGTTAGAACGGAAAAGCGAGACAGAAGAGAGAAACGAGGAAGAAGGAAGAAAAAAAAGTGATCGACGAGGACGGAGGCACGACGTCCACGACAAAGGAAGAGAAGTTGAACGCACATACGGTGGACTCTGGAGTAACGGTATAAACGAGTGTGCGTACGTCCTTGGACGGATTTTGCCCGGCGAGAGCTCGATTTCCCGTGGGAATTTCCATAGGAGTGGAACAAACGACTCTCGAAAGGCAGCCGCGACCCGATTCGATCCGGTGACGTCGTAGAGAAGCCTGGGTGAAGGCAAACAAACACGGCCATCGCGTGATCCGCCATCTTGGTCAAGAGAGGAGTCGGTTATTGTCGTGCCGAGGGGAGAGAAAGAGAGAGAGAGAGAGAGAAAGAGAACGCGTGCGAGGCCGTTGTTTTTTCCGTATCCGCTGAGTAAGTTGCGAAGGAAAAGCGGAAGCGGGAGGCGAGAAGGAAGGATACGGAGAGGATACGCTTAAGGTGGCTAACGGTCACCGAATGTGGTCGAATCTGCGGGGAACGCGCACTGGGAGGACCGCGAGAGAAGAGGAACTCGAGGCGAGGTAGCATCACGCAAAACAGACCCCCGGGGTTACCCCACCGCACTTATCCCACCGCGTCGTCACCGTCGTCGTCCCCACCACCGCCCTGCCCTGGATACCGTGGTTATTGCGCAGTTGGAAAAATTGCTGAGCACGGACGCGGGACGTCGTCCCCGAGAGTTCGCAGCCCCGCGGACGTTTACCGGTAAGTGAAAGACACCTTCCTGCTCTTGTTACCGATTCTCGGATCATCGTCTCGAGATCATACGTTTATCTCCGTTTGTTTTGTTTTTTTTTTTTTTTTCCTATTTTTTTTCCTGACTTTTCTGACGGAGAGAAACGCATATTTCGCACCGGATGCTAGGAAGATAAAAGAAACTTTCGATAACAGAATAAATTGAAGGAAACAAACGGAAGCGACGAGTGTTGTGTATACGATCTCGAATAAATTACGTTTTATGAATATATTTCGTTCTTTATTTCTTTATATCTTTAGACAACTACTTAAATATTGAATCTTTGAAACTATGAAAAAATCGTAAGCATATCTTGTCCTGTTTCTTATGTGAATAGCGCGTGATAACCCTGAAATTGGACGCGTCTCTTCGGCATAATTGTGAACACGCGGTTAGATGTTCAGACTGCGAACTTAGGATAGTTTAGAAATTCTGAAAACAATTTACATGTTTTCTTTGAAGTATTCACTAAGTTACAATGCGGTGGAAATAAGAAAAATACGAAAAATACGATAAAGCATTCCTTATAATATTTTTCGAGAAGCCTAATCAACTTACAAAGCGATGATAATACGAAAAAGAAAAAAATTTTCTCTCCAAAAATTTGGAGGATCAATAACTTTTCTGAAAACCTGTCAAACTTGTAAAGTGATGGAAATAAAAATAAAAGATAAAGATAAAAAAAATATTCCTTTCTAAGTTAGTCCTTTGTAAGTATTTCGAGTACGGACAGTTTCTATTCATTAAAAATTTCACTGCACGTTGAAAGGTCCTGAATTTGTATTTATATAGGTTTTTATTTTGTACTATTTAGATTTTTGCACAATAAAGATAAGGTACAGGTATTTGTGCTAGAAATTTAAAAGTATATCCGTGAATTTTTATAGATTTTTCGAGCCACTTTGCACATGAAAAAAGAATCGAACGACTCGAAAGACTACCCACGTAGGATCACATGTGGTGCCGTTTTTTCACATAAGTAACTAATAGTCAATGACTTTTTTTGAAAACCTAAAAACTCAATATGATGAAAATATGAAAATAAATATGACGAATTCCGTTTTAAGACTAACTTTTAAAAATCTAAATAAATTACAATAGAAATATTAAAAAAGCAAAGCATTCATCTCCAAGATTAATAACTTTTTGAAAATTCTAAAGATTTTAAATAGTCTGAATAAGAAATATATGTTCGAAATATATGCCAAAAATATGAGATTCCTTTCTAAGATTAATTTTTCTAAAAACCTAAATAACTTACAATACGATAGATATAAAAAAACATTCTTCTCTAAGATATTAATGACTTTTTGAAACTTTTAAAGCTTTGAAATAGTCTGAACAAAAAATATACTTTCGAAAATTTATAATACGTTTTATCTTATCTAGTTTTTATGATTTGAAAACTAAAGAGTAATTTATTATTTTGCTGTAGAAAGTTCTGTTAAAAAAAATTATTCAGAATCGAAAGTAGATACGATAGATAGTTGATTCTTTTTGAATATTTGTTGATAAGAATTAATTGCATACCATATCCGTCTTTATTTAAATGCTGCCAATCTAAAATTCTGATGCGGTATAATGATAAAATTTTTGCATAAATTTTCTACTACATTTCAAAAAGATTTATTTTCTCTCTTGAGGAACATTCATGAGCTATCGAAGAATTAGGCATCTCCGTCCTGTTAAATAAATATACATGTGTTTAAATATACATAAGTTTAAATATTTTTTTATGCATCTAGCAAAAGACACGATATAAATATATAAAATTGTGATGTAATTACATGTACATTTTATTCTATGTGGCACAAATAGCAAACGATACAAAACAATTAATATGCTAATATGCTAATGAGATACAAATAATTACGATACAAACAATTAATATGCTAATATGCTAATGAGATCTTATCTTTTATCTTTAGTAGATTTTAACAAAATTTGTTTCCTGCGTAGAATTTTAATATATATAAATTTCTATATATAATAGTTCTATATATAAATGAATAATTTTTTTACTTTAAAAGATATGTAGAATTGTGTAAATGGTACAACATTGAATGCAATATATAATTTTTATATAACTTTTAATCCGATAATTTTTTAATAATAAATTTTTTACCTAATTTAGAATTATTTTTTCTATAAGAAAAGTGCCGAAGTACCGATTTCAATAAATCATTGTTGGAAAAGGCAGAAATCTAAAATTTTTATCGTTTACTTAATGTAAAGAAAACTCACGTATTCTTTGCGATACATATTTATGCCATTTTTATAAGAGCATCAGATGATTTATTTTTATCCTCTTTTTCAAATATCAATTTCTTATTTCGAACATAAAGAAAACAATTTTTTTCTTTTCCTTTTTTTTCTTCCGTGGAAAATGAGTGGAAAAAAGTAATTCATACTTTACAATTAGAAATCAGCTTTATCAAATATGAAAGTAGTAGAAAAAAAAGAGTAAATGTTAGGAAAAATTCGAGGAATTCCTTTGTGTTGCAGGCTGATGAGTTGATGTGAGTGAGAAGGAGGTATATCGAGCCGAAAGAGACAGAGAAAGCGAGAGATACAAACATCCGAGCCATGACGAACTCCGCGCCCAAGTTAGACAAGGCTAAGGTGGACCGGCAGGCCTCGCCGAAGGTCGGATATCAGCACAACCACCATCATAATCGTTCTAATAGTAAATCGTCGCCGTTCCTGTATAAGAACAATCGCCACGCGGCCAGGAATACGAAAGACGGCCGGCAGAGCTGCAGTCCGTACAGTCCGTCATCCAAGAGTGCGAGGAGCTCGCCACAACAGCAACCTCAACAGCAGCAGCAACAACAACAACAACAACAGCAGCAGCAGCAGCAGCAACGTTATGAGTATCGCAGTCCGAGCAGTAGCCCGACCAACAACTTCTATGCGGGCGCCAAATTCTCAGAAACGCCATCGCCCGCGAGCGTGCCCAAACCGCCGAGCCACTGGACGAAGAGACTGATAGGCGCCTGCCGTCAGTCTGATAGCATAAGCGAGCACACGAGGCAACTGCGCATAGTGCTGAACGTTCAGGCCTGATACCCAGCGACCAGCGCATTCACCAGCTACGCGCGAGGGGAGAAGCGGCGATCGTCAACATCTCCTAGAGAATCAGGTACGATAGAGAATCATCGTCAGTAAAAGACTCGTCGTCGATGAAGAGGGCAGAATAAGAGAGACGATGATAACGACGATGATGGGAACGAACGCGAAGATAATGATTTAAATAATGATGATGATGATGATGATGATGATGACGACGATGATGGTGACACCGTGTGCGGTCCATACACACGAGTTTTCGATTTTATCGCGCGAGTGGATACCCCGTAAATCCATTCTTTACGCTAAGATACATCCAGAATAACGAACTTTAAGCCGTACAGACTTATGCCACCGCGGGAGAAGGACGACGCGACGCATCGGTGCGTCCCCGATGCCCGCGATCGATGTGTACACGCGAGAGATACATTATACATGTGTATATATATATATATATATATATGCGTTCTGGACTCCCATCACGCGCCATCATTGTGACGAAGAGAATGTAAGTAATACTGTATTTTAGATTATCGTATATCGCTAAACTTATAAAGGGTACAACTAGAAATTCCAACATAACATACATACATACATACATACAGTCTGTGTAACATCCGAACACAGAAAAGAAGAGAGAGAAAAGAAGTACATCTCAGTCTGACGAGACGACAAGCGCGGACGAGCGAAGTTTCGCTTCGCAATTTTTGTCAAACGATGCGCTTCAATATCGACGCGTTGGAGAGAGAGAGAGAGAGAGAGAGAAGAATATAGAGCGTACGATGTATTTTCGCGAGACATCCGGTACGTCGTTTTTATTAACCCGTCGAACGTTTCCCCGTAGTTTCGATCATCGGCAGTTAGGGAACAAAACGGCGACGCGTACGCGTAATCTGCTTCGTGTAGTACGTGTAGA